GGGTGGGTGGGTGGGTGGGTGGGTCGTGGGGTGGTCGGGTGAATGGGGGGTGCGGGGTGGGTGAGTGAGCGAGCGAGTTTGCAAGTGAACAGGGTAGCTTTCTGGCCCACGGAAGTGCCCTCACGAAGAAGCAGCTTGCTCGATTCATTCGTGACCATTGCCGAAATCGCCTTGAAGAAAGCCGCCGGCTTGAACAGGGATTTCCGAAGAGCCCTAGCAGGCAAAACTGCTGTACCATAAGCCGACTTGCCAAGCTATTGCATCCACCGAAATGAGTACTGCCTGTAATAGTGGAAGTTCAGCTTCTTGTGCCTAATGACTTGCAACTTCCGGTCACAATGCACAACTCCTGCTCTTCGCAATAGACACTGAGCTGAAGGCTCTGCGATGTCCTGCCTCACTGCTGGCAGAAGGACCTGGCACCACCAATACACACCATCATAATCATGAAGTTGTTGCTCAGGGTGGGTGCCCCACCAAGTTGAAGAAGCGCTGGGCCATTCCTCAAGGATTGCGCACGAAGGCCCACTGATGCTGGTGATGTAGCAAATTAAAACCAAAAGGCGCGGGTTCAAGTTGGACACGAAGATAACAGAGGCCTGCGATAGAAGCAAAAGGTTGCTCCCTGTATTTCTGCTTGCTGACGACGCGATTCCAACCAGTGCAGGCAAGATGTAGACCTATTCCGAGCTGCTTTGGAACGTCGTGAAGTGATGCTTGCCCTTAGGGCTCATCACATGCTCGCCAGTAAACCGGCCAGTTTGCAGATCTCGGACTCCAGCACATAGAAACATGAGAAAGGCTAAGCCTAAGCGAACATGAAACCTGTCAAATCCATAGCTACCAACCCATTTGGCATGACGCGACGATCCATCATGTCCTGATTTGCATCTTGTGGTGAAGTGCTTGGAGCAAATCTACCTCACTGCTTCCATCCAGGCGCATCTGAATAAAGCCTGAGCCCACAGCACAGTCCCCGGACAGTCCGCAGGCTGGAAGACGACAGAGCAGAGGGCCTGCCCCAGTCGTGTCGGCGGTGGGAGATCTGCCTGTTCAAAATGGATGGCACCTGGCTACGGAGCTGAGCAAAAATCAAAACACCTCTAGCTGGACCCTGCATTCACTGCTCGTGGCAGAATGCGCCCCAATCGGGCCAAGTCGCAGGTTTACCGCCGATGATCTGCATTTTCGGGAGCTGCGGGAGAGACCGCGATGCCTGCAGGTGAGTTGTCCAACCCAAGCTCAAGATGCTTCAGGATCATGGCCTGCATCGATGTGGAGCTGGAAGATCCTCAACCAGAACATTTGCGAAGCTCCGGTGATTCGAGGTCGGCATTGCAGGGTGCAACTTAAAACGGCAAGTCTGTCCTTTCTGCAACTTCTCGGCGAGGTCTGGTCGATTCTGGAGAAAGAACTTAAGATTCCACTTCTCCTCCTGCAGCAGTTTCAGTATCATGATTTCCGACATCACCGAACAGTTCGAAACCTTCTCCATGATCTCGTCAGTGATCGTCCGCATGGCTACAGTTCGGCAAGATCTGCTTGGCTTGGTTCCCAGCGCTACAGGACGACAGCACACAAAGTCTATCGCTGTAAGTAAGCCAAGTTAGGCTGCGGGGTGAACGGTGTTGCCCCGTCGCACATGCAAACTTCCGGCTTGGTCGCAAATGACGCCATGGTACTGCCTGCCTGGTACATGGCAGCTGGACTCCACGTTAGCGGAGAGGTTAACGCGAGAACCTGCATCAGATCCATCATATTGGGACTGCATGGTCCAAGCCATAACGACTCGTGCAACCACAGCTGCAAATGGGCGCGGCGCCTCCTCCCAATTTGTCAAGTTGGGTATCACCTGCCATCGCAACCAGCACGCAAGTTTCTCCCACTCTCACGCTTGCTCTGCCTTGAACGCTTTGGGGATGGCCCCCGATTTGTAGAACTTCAGCCACTTCCCGATATCTCCGTAAACCTTAGAAATTATTCAGATGAGTGACAATGACTACACACAAATTCTTATGTCTCTCTGCCATGGAGCTTGCACGACCTTGGGCGATAAGCCCGCTTCACTTGCGACACCTCAACCCCATGACACGTGCCGCCAAGTTCAATGGTCAGAATGGCTGAAATCTAGGTCCTGAGGCAAACCGTGCACACGTTGCCAAAATGCATGCTACATCATTCCAGAAGCAATGTGGGAAACAAGCTTCTTGTTGCTCATGTTTATGTTGTGACAAGGCACCTTCTGCATCAGTTCCTTCTTTGCGGGCTTCAGCCTCCTCGACGAAATCCAGAGTTCAACAACATCGCTGGCACTCGCAACATTTGCCGAGCCTGGATCTTCTGCAAGATGATGTCTGCAAGCGTGGGACCCGCCTGGTTCGGTGGTTGCAAAGCTGCGATGCAACTTTGGCAACATCCGAGCCTGGGCAGAACTCTTCCCTGGAAGGAACAAAGCCATGGCCTTGGCACAAAGGCTGACTGCAAGAAAGATCGTAATCTGTGAGCTTGAGTCATCGAGCTCTCTCATCTTCGTCTGATGCATTGGGTGCCACAATGTAGCCATCCTGAAAAACCGAAATGAGGCATGTCGTCAACGGCGGCACATAGATTCACCTCGTCCACTTCGACATCAATCTCCTCGACAGCTTCCTGGACTTGCACATCTCCCTTCAAGTTTTGCGTTACATACATGGCCTCCATGTCAATCTGCTCATTTCCATGTCTGTCCACATCTTCTGGAAAATCATCTGGGCGATCTTCCTCGTCTGCTTTCTGGGCTTGGACCTCAAACAGATTCTTGGTGTGCACATCAACATGGTTCTGGATCCGACTTTAAGACCGTGTAAGAAACCTGCCATCCCGATCACCTTCTTGGCAACACTGGATGGAACCACCGCATTCTCATCCTCCGAGCATTCCACAAACATACACGAATCATGAATCTCAAAATTGCTTTCCTATTGCCACGGCTGCAACAACTGCTCCTCATCGTCATCCGCGCGGCGCAACTTGTTCCGCCTCACAAAGCCGAAGATCCCTGACTCCAAACCTGATGTGAATCATCACAGACTCCGACGGGACCGTTCGAATGCCTCTGTTGGCTTCCTCCTGCATGACACACAACGTATGTCGGGGCCCTAATGATCAAACCATGCTGCCCTGTCCGTCCTCCAATATGTCGTGGGCCAACGGGTTGTGTCTCATGCTCCTAGACACCTGATCGCAAACACAACAACTATTTCTCCATATTCATTCATTCTATCAGCAACTTGCATCAAACATATGCGAACCTTGGCACGTGTCTGCTTCGGCATAGCCAACTGCGAAGGCGGGTCGGGTTCGGCGCTGCGTGTGTGCCGCTTGCATAATCCGCAAGATTGTCGGTTATTTAATAACGAAAGCAAGTCGTGTGCCGAATAATGACATGAATACTCGTGACGCTTCGGTGCAACTATGCGAAGGGATGTTTATTGCTCTTTGCGAGATTGATGACTAAGGACTAATGATTAACAGCGTCATGACGCCTGGTTCGCACAGGTCGAACAAGTACATGTTCGGAACGCATACAGCATGCTCTGCAATCTTGGCTCAACATTTGTATGTACCTTTGCTATGCACATCAAGTGCCGACCATGAAAGTGTTTGACACGATCGGAATGTCCTCGTCTGGGGGCATGTGCACGCCTGTGGATGGAGCTTCCACCTCCTCCTCCTTTGGCTGATCCCTTGGACCAAAGCATCCGTCACTTGCCGGCGCAGCGGATTCCACTCCTGTTGTGCATCCCTGCCGCCGCGTTCACTACCCATAATATTGAACTGGAGTAGGATACTTTGGCCGTTGGATTGACGTCGTAGTGTAGTAGAAGTCGGGCAAATCGTGAGTGATATGCTCGCTGATGTAGCGATCCACTTCCTTATCGTCTGCGTTTTGTCGTGAGAAAAAGAAGTGCGAAACGCACAAAGTAAGGATATACATACAAATTATAAGTGACACTCCAGTCAAACATATCTTCCGGAATGTGTATATATATATATATAAAGATTACGACACTCGGACTACCCTCCTTTTTGCACGGTGGGAAGCTCGCTAGAGTCAGATGCCGGGGAACGGCTAAGGGTAGGCTGTAGGCTCCAAACATGAAGCTGAAGGTGAAACACTAGAGGGCCAGGGAAAACTGGCGAGAAAGGGTGTGGAGAGAGGGACGAAAAAACCCGAGGAGAGCCGACAAGACTGCTGGTTGAAGGAACAGAGAAAATCTCGATGAAACGAGATGCTTGGGGAAACCAAAACAAGCCATGGCATGCATGCGGACAAGGTTTGGGAAAACAAAGGCGCAAACAACGTGAGGATAATGACCCGTCCACCTCCGGTGGAAGTGTTTCTTATGCTCTGCATTTTGTCGTGAGAAAAAGTGCGACATGCACAAAGTAAGGAAATACATAAGTTATAAGTGACACTCCAAACAAACATATCTTGCGAAGTCTGTGTACATATATATGGTAGCCCCCCCCCCCCCCCCCCCCCC